CGTGTCTGCCACATTCTCCAAGTCCTGAGTGGGCTGGATGCTCTCCCTTGGGCTGGATGCTCTCCCTTGCTGTGCCCAACAGCAGAGCAGCACAGCACAGATCTGATGGTTTTAACAGGTCTCAGGAAGGATTTTTCAGGGCAAACATCCCTGATGGGAGTGTCCTTCAAACCCAGCCAGTTTTTCTCCCCTGTGTGTTTGYTGACCTGGAGACAGAAGCAGCAGCTGATGTTTGGGTGCTGTTTGTGCTGTTCAAAGCAAATCCCAGTTCAAAGACAACGGGATTTCATCAGTTTAGACCCCAGCCAGGGTGCCTGTGCTGATAAAGGCACTTCAAACATTAGCAGCCCAAGCCTTAAATTTGGATATTTATTTCTTAGGATCAATAAATGACAAAATAAAATACCATACAGTACAAAGTCTATATCGGGAATTAACCATTTCATTACACTTTGATCAGTAAATACAGTATCAATAATAGCATGTTTCACTGAAAGAGTGTTTCCCATTGCTGTACAGAAGGATTCCACACCCTCTTCCTTCCCTTTGTCACAGAAAATATTACAAAATAGACACTGACACACTTTTAACATTCATTTTTTTCCCCATTGAGCAACAGGCCACAGAAAATAAAGCACATCAACATTTTGTATCTCAGAATAAAATATATATATATATTAAAAAAAAAAAGGTGCACTTTAAAAAATATTTGCCATAAATACAATATGTGCAGGACTGTCAGGCAGCACAGCAGGGGGAGGACTCTGGATCACAAAGCCAAGACACGGCATCATGAAATTTCTGCTTTTGCACTGAGCAAACCCAGACTGAGGACGGGAGAAGTGGTTGAGCTGTGATGTGAAGAAGCAGACGCAGCTTTGGTGGAACAGTCACCAAAAAACACAGGCAGGAGGATGGACACTGGATGGACACTGGATGGACACAGGGCAGGTCCAGGGCTCCCTCCCCTGTGGATGTTTGCTGGCCCTGCCCAAGGGCAGCAGCAGCACAGATGTGGGGCTAAAACTGCACCATGAGCTGTTCTGCAGCAGCACAGATGTGGGGCTAAAACTGCACCATGAGCTGTTCTGCAGCTGCACAGATGTGGGGTTAAAACCTGCACCATGAGCTGTTCTGCAGCTGCACAGATGTGGGACTAAAACTGCCCAGATGTGGGGCTCAAACCTGCACCATGAGCTGTTCTGCAGCAGCATCACACTCAGGAATTGCTTCACTGAAATTGCTTTCACTGAAATTGCTCCATGTGGAAACGCAAAGGTCCTGCTCTTGTCGTGTTCCCAGCCCTGCTAACCCTCCTCGTGGATTTCCCGTTGAGTTTGCTCCTGAAAAGCTCGCTGAAGTGAGGGATCATGCACCTTACAAAAAAAAGACAAGCTCAGAAGAGCATTCCAGCACTGATGTACCAGTCTTGTCTGGGGGAGATTTCTGAATAGCAAAATGACTTTATAAACCKGATTTCACACTCTGCCAAATGAATGGCTCTGGCAAGAGCACTGTGAAGAGAAACAAAACCTCCAAATAACGTTTGAAGAGGTCACTTGATAGACTCTCTTCAGAGGGGAATTTCTCAGAATCCATCTGGCAGCACTTCACATCTGCAGGTTCCACAGATTTTGTTCTTTTTTTAGCCAAAACAAACAGTTCCAAACACTTACAGGGAATTTGCATAAACTAGCAGGGGCCCCAGCACTCACCTCTGCCTTGAAAAGAGTTCAGCCAAGACAAGGACACAACAGATGGGAGATTGTGTTCTGTCTGATGGCAAAAGCCATTCACACCAGATTAAATTTAAAAACCTTGCTGGGTTAGCAGTTCAATCACTGTTAAAAGGCATGTAAAGAACAATTTGTCTGGTAAATATGATGCAGTTTGTGCTTTTTTCTTCTCTAGAGTATCAGCTTTCCTTTGCAAGGCCAGGTTGGGTGGGGCTTTGAGAAACCTGGTCTAGGGAAAGGTGTGTGGCAGRGGTTTGSAAYTRGATGSTCTTTAAGGTCCCTTCCAACCCAAACTATCCAGAGATTCTCTGGAAATCATGGGGGTTTGCAGTGAGTTATCCTCACTCCTTKGAGCTCAAGGGAATCCCATCTCTGAGTTGAAGAGAGCCAAATTAGGTGAGGAGGGGAGAGAGGAAGAAACCAACTGGAATTTACACTGCTCAGCTCAAGGTGGTCAGATTTGGCCAGTGGAAGAGGTAGCTTTGAGCTGCAATCTCAGATTAAGGCCAAGGACCCAGGTCTGCTTTTCTGTTCACCTGCAAGAACAGAGCTATAGAAGTCAGCAAATCCCTCAGAGAAATCCCCCAAATTCCCCCATCTCCTCAGCACTAGAGCAGCCCAACAAACTTTTACTGCAGCTTTTCCCAATGTTATGTCAAACTAAGAATAAACCTGCCAGTTTCTCTGAGCTGTGATCAAATATTCTCTAAGCTGCCAGTGTATCTCAGTAGTGAAAATCTAAACCAAGCATCTTATGTGAAACAACGATTTTTGTATAGTGTTTCCTAAGACAATCAAGCACATTTCAGCAGGTTGGTGTYGAACAAGTGTAGTAATAATGTTTAATATTTCAAAAGCAAATGAGACATGCAGGRTGTTGAATCGTAATGAAAGTCAAAGCAACACAGTTACAGCATCCCTGGGAGGTTTCAGAAAGCACCTCCCAGCTGATGACTCTATTGAGAGTTGAAGTAAAAAAATTTGGGTCCTCCAGAAACATCTGAAGTGTCTTGCCTGGAAGGCCGATGTTAAATGTGTGACATCAAGACTCCTCTTCCTCTCAAGGCAGACTTTCCCCCTCTCCTGTTCATGGTACCTGCATCTCCCCACAAGGCAGGATGAGCAGGTCCTCTAGAGATTCTTCTTCCAACCTGCCCAAGCCATTTCACACACACCACACACAGAAAATATTTGTTGGTTCCTCATGGATTTTCTTCCAAAGAGACCAGTCTCCTTTATCCTGTTTGTTTCAATTTATTTATTTGTGTGCCACTGCCTGTTTTCCTTGTCAAAGAGGAGTCAACAGTTCATGAGCAACCAAAGTGCTTGGTCAAAAATAATCTCTGCCCTCTGTTTGGTACAGCCAGGGCAAGAAATCAAAAGAAGGCATGACAGAACAGAGCTTGCAGTTTGGCTGAATCAGAAGAAACTAAAGCGCCAGGGATTTGCATTCTGAGCCCTTTCTTTGGCAGGGGGTCTGTGCTGGGCATTAAAATCACCTTCCCATGCCTGGCAGGTGTGGATGGAGGCCGTGGTTGATGCCATGGATCCAGCTGGGTACAGCTGCCAAGTTAGAAATTCCCCAAAAGTAGTCAGTCATCACCAACAACTCACAGCAAATGGGTGTTTCCTCTGTGTTCTGAGCCCAACAGGACCTAAACCACAAGTCCAGGGAGTTGGACTCGATGATTCTYGTGAATCCCTTCCAACCTGGCACGTTCTGCAGCAGGAGATGCCAGGGCAGTAACTGATGTCCATCACTGTGTGACACCCACTGGGGCCAGACCCACACCTCCAGCACTGTGGCTTCTGTCAGGGACCACTCATTAGCTGAAGAGTGACATGGGATGGGCAAAGGCCAGAAGGCAGAATCGAGCCAACTCYTCTGCTTTGTCCTTTAAGAGGTGAATCCTGCTCTCCCAGTGACCTGTGATGTGAAAGGGGGCCACCAGCAAAGGTTGCACAGGGTGATTGCTCAGTCCCAMGTTTGTGCAGGTTTGTGCCCTTTAGCTTGTCCAAGAGTTTTGTGATTTCAGTGCTAAAGACTCCAGAGCAATTTGCTCCATCACACAATGGGCTGTTAGATGTGGAACCACCTGGGAGGAAAGCTCACGTTACCTCTCCTGACCCGCTGAGAAATTTCAAAGTGAGCTTTCAGGGCTTGTTTCTGTTCCCCTTGTTAAAAGAAAGTGGGTTTAGAGACAAAACTMCCCAGTTTAGACCTCCTTGTGCTCTGTTTGGACTATCTGAACATTGGGGGTGCTGATCAGTGCCAACAGGTCTGGTAGCAAAAAGTAATGAAAGAAAAGGCCCTGCTGCCTATAACTGATATAAACTATGAGATGTCAGCCTTGCGGAAAGGTGAGGAAATAAGTAAAACTGGAATAAGAATGGGAAAAATCTGAAGGTTSCACAGAATTGGGGCAGATTGCTCTTATCTCAGCAGCCTGGAGCCCTCTCGAGCTTGGAGTTTTCTCACCTCTTAATGCAGGCCAGCAAACTGTTCTCCCTGGTAAAAAATAGGATTTGGCTGTATGGCAAAAGGAAGATTTTCCATTTCTGTTCATTTTCAGCACTCCAGCTGGGCACAGCCTCTGCATTCCTGACTTTGCCAGAGGCTCTGCTGCTGTCGGTGCAGTGGTACCAATGCCAGGCACTGTGGATGCCCTAAAGCCACGGGTGACCCCCTTCCCCAGGCCACAGCCACCCCAGCCTAGGTAAGGCATCGTCTGTTCTTTTGAATTTCAAGGAGCCAGAGCGGCTCTCTTGAGCACCTCGGTCTTGTTACTCAAAATGCAGATATATTTCTAAAACAACCACCTGGCTCCCTGAGTTTTCACTCCTAGTTCACTGGACATCCCACAGATGAGCACGTCCATTCTTTAAAAACATCCCTTTCTKCTCAAAGCTTCTCTCTCCTCAAACTCTCTGCTCAGTGCCACCAGGAGACGTGATCTCAAACCCTTGGGTGTGAACATGGCATCTYTGCACTGAGAGAAGGATGAAATGCAGCACGGTTTTGCCTAAATTGAACACATTTTGGCTTCCCAGTTAACACCACATCTGGATTTACGCCAGACTGAAGTTGCAATACACGTAGACATYACTCACAAGAGGCAAGGCCAATGCTCGAAAATAACCTCGACGTTACTGGCAGAACAAAGCCTATTTTTCCAACAAAAATGACTTTGCTAAACACATTTGTGTTACGTGAATTTGGAGACCATGCATGAAAGTCACAGAGGCCTCTCTCAAGTTTGATGGATGAATTGTGTTCCTCTTCCTCCTTTGGCTTCAGTACGTGGTTTCCCTTGTGACCTGGCTGGAAAACGTGTGGTTGCTGGAGATGCTGTTGGATTTYCTGGTGAAGGCCAACCGCTTCTTCTTCTTCCTCCATGGCAGGCACAGGATTGTGAGTGTGGAGAGGAAGATCTGGCGGAAGTTTGCYGACACCAGGTTGTAGAGGATGGGGTTGATTGCTGAGCTGACGTAGAACAGGACGTTTGTCAGCATGTAGAAGTAGTGGTAGAAGTTGTAAAGGAAACTGGAAGAACAGATGACAGATAAAAATCRGAGTGTGAAGAACTCAAAGTGACAAGGGTGAGAAAAACATGAGCTGCTTTCCACCTAACCCGTCTGGGCTTACCAGTGGTGACTGAGCCACCAAAACCCATCTGCATCTCCAACTGGAACAGGTCAGACACGGATCAGATCCCTTTATGAAGATATTGCCCAGCACTCAGAGACTTTTTTAAGCCCTGGGGCCAGACCTGATATTTACCTTGTGCATTCATTCATTCGTTGGAATAGGCATTCTGGAAACTGAGAAGCCAGATGGAAATTTGCTTCAGTGTCATACATATACATTAGCCTGACTTTTTTTGGCTGYGGTTCTGATCTACAGAGGTTGCAGAAGAGCCAAACTCCAGTAACAGATGCAGCTCCCTCCTCCCTCTGGCAGTGAGAGCAGCATCAGCTCACTCAATGGCTCCCTGGGTTGGGATTTGTCTGWAATGTGGGATGGCATTTCCTGCTCTGGGGGCAAGCTGACGATAGCACGCTTCTGAAACACATCCTGACCACCACAATTTAATGTTTTCAACTAGAAATGGTTGAAAATGTTTTATTGTCTTTTATACTTTTGGAAATATCTTTCCTTGGGCCAACTGAGAGCAACAGCCCTGAGCTGGTGAAGCATTTATAAACACCGTGGGTCTCATTTTCAGGAAGATGTTCCTCAGAATCATTAATCTTGGTGGAAATTGCAGACCTTTTTTCTAGTCTGAGCAGTCTGACAAAAGATAAATAGAGGAGTKCTGGACTGCATTGCCCATCCCTCAACACCCCCTCAGCACTGCCAAGGACTGCATGGCCCATCCAGCCCTTACAAGCASAGTTTCTCTATGTAGTTGTGAAGAATTAATATTGGAAAAATTCCTCTTCTTCAGGGACAAGGCACATGCATTTATAAATGAACATGCCAAGCACTGCAAACTCTTGGTTAGCCACYGGACTGATAGCTCACTATCATTCTGTAAATTCAAAGTTTTCCYAACATCACTCMTSRCTTTTAAAAAGARGAAAAAAATGTTATGTGAATGCAGCCACAATGCATAATTCCCACTAACTGCAGACACACTTCTCTACCTCTCTCTCTCAAAGCAAATCCAACCATTACATAATTGAACACTGCCTTAAGTGCTTTTCATATAGGAAAGCAAAGGATAAACAAGAGTTTTTCCCAGTGTGTGCCTAGAGCTCTGTTTTCATGACTGTAGATAGATTTTGGATTTTACTATGGTTGGATCCACAGTTCCATTCAGTAGACTGCTATATCCTAATTTACTCTTTTTTTTTGTTTGGAGCTGTTGGAATTTTAGTGTCTTATTGTTTTCTGCTTTTTCAGTATTGGAGATTTTTTTTTCTTTTCCTTGGAGGAAACATCCCCTATCTCAGGGAGAACAGGGATGAACACCATGGGAGGAGACCCACGAGTGCATCCCTTGGCATCTCAGGCCCCTGGTGTGTGTCCCCAGACAGCATGAGCTCTTAATGACATATTTGAAAATAATAATAATAATCAGTTTGGTGGCTGCTTTGCTGAAAAGCCTGGCCTGGTGCCTCAGGAAGGAGCAGGGAGCTCCTGGGGTGTTCTTGAACATCAGTGAGCAGCACACGTGTGTTTGTGCAATTATTGCAGAATTCTCTGGCAATCTGGGCATTTCCTGATCAGCAGCAACTGCTGGTGTTTTATTTTGATCCATTCCCTGCAAATCCCAGCCAATAACCCGCCCCAGGCTCAGTAAGCAGCACGGCCATTCCCCAACCTGTGTGATCTGTATATGTGTCCCTGAGGAAAGGCAGCCTCATGTTGTGATGGGAGCTGCTCCATCTCAGGGCTGGGATCAAYATCTCTGGCACAGAGGCTGAAATCCACCCTGGATCTATCAAGCCCCTTATCCAAATGTCATTTCATCAAGGGCTGCCAGAGGTGAAGCCCCATGGGTGCTGCCAGCAGGGCTGAGTCTGTGGAGGAGGAGGAGGTTGGGCTGATGACACATTTTGGTCCAAAGTTATGCTTCCTCCACCGTGTCTGGGGGATTTAGGCAAAACTAAGACTCTTAATTTGTCTGGCAAACACTGAGAAATCCAAAAAGAAAGAAACCAAACAGCAGCTAGGAGTTTGAAGATTTAACTCCTCTGCTGGAGCCTTTGCTTGCAGATCCCCACCCACCTCCATCTCCACATCTGTGGGTCACCCCCAGCCCCAGCCTGACCCCCACCCTGTCCTGGCATGGGGACAGTGTCCCCCACGCTGTCACTCACTCTGTCCAGTGGCTGGAGGGGACGTAGCAGAACATGAGGCGCCGTATGTGGTAGGGGAGCCAGCAAACCACRAAGGCGATCACCACAGCACCTGCAAGGTAGGGGAAAAAAAAACCCTGTGGAGGTTGAAAACTGGCATTTCTTGTAGGTTTTGAGATTTAGTTAATAATAGTGTATGATTAAGATTTAGGAAATAGAAGGGAGTGTTAACAGCTTGCATGGAGGAGAAACGCTATGACTTTAGTTGTATTTGGGAAAAAGAAAATGGAATGTTGAATTGATAATACAAGTGGTTGAAGACTTAAAACATTAACGACACTGTAGTTTTTGCAAACTCACTAATCATAGCTAAACAGTTGCTTTATTAACTAATAGATATTTGCTACAAATGTATACACTTGTTGCTAAATAGATAAAAAAGTCTTTGTTMTAGAATAAAGTAGTTGTAGTTTTGTGTGTATATGTGTGTCCATTATTTYGTGTTGCTGTCCRGCCAACAGCGACAAAACCCTTRACWTTTTCTSCWTCAGGGTGAAAAAGGGACCTGCCTGCGTGGGTGTTATTGCTGCAAACTGTTCTCCTGGAGCCCCACTTGTTCTTGCATTGCCATTGTGCAAAGAATTAATAACCCTGGGGGACAACCATGCTGCAAATGTCTGCAAAAAGCACAACAGGAGTAATGGAAAACAGCGCTGAGCACCAGGGCAGTGACAGGAGGAACAACAGAGGGAACAGATGAAGGACTGGCAATGCCTGGTTCTGACACTGGCTTAAAGGAAACTCTGTGTTTCATGYCCTTGTGGCACTGGGTTTCTTGTCCAAAATACTCGCAGAGACAGTCAGGGGATGTTTTTCATGCAGGTACACAGGGAGCCATGGACACTTTAATGACATTAGTTTTGTGGAGCCACAGTCCCCACGGTGCTGAGCACCATTAAACTGCTTTTCCTGGTGGCAGGGCTCATCCTTTTGTTCCACATTTGTGCAATACCTGAGATTATGACTTGTTTGGGTCTGGACTTTGCCGTAATAAAAATGATCAATTAAAGGGTAAGCAGAGAAATGCACGATGGCTTTTTTCCTTTCCAGATTCGGAGGGATGTCAAACAATGGAAATAAAATGCAACAACTCTGAGACATAAAAGTGCTGTTGATTGAGTGCCTTTGTCTGTCTGGATTAAAAAGTAGATCTATCAGGCAATCAAGAGAAAGATTTGTTTCCTTTTGCAATATACCTTTCAACCTCTGTATGGAACAGCAGGATTCTGGCAGAATCCTAGCAGGAAATAAAGAAACCTCAGTTAAAACATAACACAATAAAAGGCAAGAAGAAAATAAAGACTAAATAAAATAATTAAGTTAAGTTTTTTGTCCCAAATTTGCTCTACAGAYGACAAGGGCCGCATCACTCTTGTCCTTTGTGTGACCTGTGAGGGGCTGGGAAGCAGCAAAGCTCTYGTCCAGACTGAGGTACCACAAGTGCAATTTGGATTTGGCACGTGGAACCAAAGGCTGGGTTTTTTTTCTGCCTTGGGATTGGAAATATTTATGTGGATATGTGCCAAACCCAGACGCTGCCATCYCAMAGGGGCTGWGTCGCAGCTCAGGGAAAAGATGTGYAGAAGRTGTGTTTCCCTTGGAAAAGCAGTCCAGGAGGAAAAAGTCTGGCTGTGGTTGCATTTCCCTGTCACTGATGCTCAAACAAAAGGCATAGGAGAGCAGAAATTAAATAATTCCTGGTGCTCAGTTCCATACTCACACTCTACTCCAACTCCACGAGCTCTCTCTCTTTTTAAACACATGGCCAAGAGTGGAGAAGATTCTATTCCTTTAGATCAGCCTGCATAATGCATGACAGCATCTTCCAGGAATGCTGCAAAAGCCATTTATCCAGCAAAAATTTAAGCAACTGAAGGGACATGTTTTGGAAAGAAGGCTAGAGGGTCTGTTTTTATTCTCTTGTCCAAGTGAATTCATTTTTTCAAACTGTTTTTGGCTGCTCTCACTGGTCACACTGATCCAGATGCAATTCATCTCCAGATATCTTGCAGCCCTTCAGATGCCAGCAAGTGAATGGATTTGACCTGTGCCTGATCCTTCCCTGGGGAACTTTGATGGGACTTTGAGGGAAGAGCCCCWGAGGGATGTTTGGCACAGGAGAAGTGGGGAGATCCACCGGGAAGCTCGCTGGGAGCAGCGTGGATACCTGCCTGGCTCCTTCACATTTCTGAGCATTTTGGCCACTGCCAGAAATCAATTTCTGTGTCAGATGGGCCCTTGGATTGCCCTGGAGACAGTAGATCCCTCCCAGGGGCTGCAGGAGCAGCAGAGCTCTTCATCCTCTCCTCTCTCCATCCTCTCCTCTCTCCGCCAGCCTCAGGCCGACGGGAGCGCGCCAATGCCACAGCTCCAGCCCATCTGCTTTCCCAGCACCCTCACACAATGAGCTGGGTTTTCAGGCTGCWAAAGCAGCTTCCCAAATGGCTCCAAACACGGGTTCATTCAGGCACATCGTGATTTTTGCAGAAACCTCCAAGCGCTGGCAGTTCTCAGCTGCTCATCCCCGTGTGCAGCTCTTTAGGAACGGCAGGATCCCGATTCTTCCTGCAGCARTTACAAGAATCTCACACATCTGCTTGTTAAATTTACCAACACGTTACATGAAAGTGATTTTCTCCTGGTGAATGATCTCTGCTTCTGCTGCWCAGGCAATGCTGTGCCAAATAATATGGATCTATAGTGACAAAAACACATATTGAGAGAAGTATCTGCTTAACCYCAGCAATTAAGTAATCTGTGATAATTCTGTAATACCACTCTGCAATTAAAACTCTATTAAATGTGTGAAGCACACTGGAGACACTTCTGGTCTGATCTGGRAGTCCCAGCTGGGTGACACACTGCAATTCTGTCTGGGCTGCACAGATTAGGAGATCCCGACCTGAATTTGTCACCCTTAATCCRTATGTTTTCATTTTATCATACAAGGGATCAAGCAGATTTAGGGTGGCAATCCTGCCCTCTTGGGTCCTCTCCCCTGGGAGGAGTATGAAACACAGGACTTTCATTTAATACATATGAAAATATATATTTCTCCCAAATATCTGCTGTTTTGTCCCTCCCTGAACACCTGCCTGTCACAATGACGAAGCTGTAAAACAAATCCTGGGCAAACCRTCTGMCAAAATTAATTTTTATTATTGTTAYGAGCTCCTAGGATGTGTTCTTCATCATCTAAAGCTCARCACATGGCTTCCTTTGGTGGAGTAAGAAGGAGCAGATCAGCCTGCTGGAGCTGAGCGCTGCAGGGGAAGGGTTTGACTCAACGTGTGACTGTCCAGGATGGCATTTGTGAGCTTGGAGATTTCCTGCCTTTATTTTTTGAACTAAAAATAAACCAGACGCATCCCTCACTTCTAATTAATTCAATAAGGTTCTAATAGGAGCAGAGCTGCTCCGTGAGCTGCTGATATTTCCCATATTCCAGCAAAAGGAGGTGCCAAACCTCAGGGCTGGGGAGCGGAGGTGAGACCCCAGCAAGATCACCCCAGTGTGCCAGGGAACAATCTTTCCACCAATGCATGTCCTCATTTCCCTTCTAAACCAAACTCCCAATTTAAATGTGTCTTAAACCCTGAATTATTACATCCTGTGTCTCTCWATTTTGTCCTGTAATGGCTCTGTTCTCTGCCTGTTTGAAGTGCATGCCAAGAAAAAAAGGGGAGAGGAAGGAGGAGAAGCAGGGGATGAGCCCTGGTTTGTTTTTCCTTCAGGAAGTCCTGCAGAGAGAAGCATCAATTCTGAGTGACATCTTTTTCACTACGCAGGAGATTCAAACTGTGCCAGCCTTGATTCTCAGACTAAACCGGCTGTGGGATCAACCCTGGAAGTTAAATTCTATTAGAACACGCTGGGTGTTTCATTTTGCCTTGTGTGGATACTGGTCTGGGGCTGGGAAACTGCCCTTCTCCAGGATCAAGGCATTCCGTGCAGGAAGCCATGGTTTTTCTGGTTTGGTTGAGCCCAGGACCGTGTTTTTTCTGGTTTGGTTGAGCCCAGGACCATGGCTTTCCTGGTTTGTTAAGCCCAGGACTATGATTTTTCTGGTCTGGTTGAGCACAGGATCATGGTTTCTGGTTTGGTTGAGGCCAGGACTGTGGTTTTTCTGGTTTGTTGAGCCTAGGACCGTGTTTTTTCTGGTTTGGTTGTGCCCAAGACCATGTTTTTTTCTGGTTGGTTGAGCCCAGGACCGTGGTTTCTGGTTTCTTGAGCCCAGGACCGTGTTTTTTCTGGTTTGTTGAGCCCAGGACTGTGATTTTCCTGGTTTGATTGGGACCAGGACTGTGTTTTTTTCTGGTTTGTTGAGCCCAGGACAGTGATTTTTTCTGGTTTGTTGAGCCCAGGAGCGATGCTCAGGAGGGTTTTCATCCTCTGTCCCTCTGCGGGGCCATGTGAGGCTCAGAGCCCCGGGACAGCGATGGAGGAGCCGCTGACTCACATCACCCCAGGGAGCTGCTGCCCTACAAAACGCTGGGCTGGTGTTTTCCCCCTCCCTTCATCCCTTCCATCCCCTCCGGGAGGGCTGAGTCACAGCCCTGCAGCCCCGGGATGTCCCTCAGTGAGGATATCCCTCTGTCCTGTCCTTCCTCTCCAGGAGAGGCAGAACAGAGGWGCTGCTCCTCCTTAGAACCACCTCTGCTGCTACAGCTCCCGTAGATGCCCACATCCATCTCCCCTTGATAGTTTTGTCCAGCTGTTTCAACCAATTTAATTCTTTTTCTCTGCATTTCAATGGGAGCTGAGCCACGGACAGATGTGGAATTCCTGAGCAAAGGCAGGAGCTGTYTGGGGATGTGTTGACCCACCTGAACAACAGCTCTCAAACTTTTCTGTGTTTTGGACTCATCTCCAACACATCAGCCAGCACTAATAAGGTCTACAACAGGTTATGGGGCTCGTGTCAGGGTAATGCTGATTTCTGGAGAAACAATTCCTTTTTTATATGATTATTTAGCTGAAGTCATTGCAAGAGGACCTCTCAAAGCGCTGTTTGATGTGATAGGTGCTGAAAGCTGGGCCAAGTGCAGACAC